CCTATTGGTGAAGTCTTACAGGAAAATTAATTTATCGTTTTTGTAAAACGAAATGGCATTGTATAACTTCTTAACTTTAACTTATATTTCAAGTTTTTGAAAAATATGCTAAACATCTTCGATTAACCAGTTACATGTAGTAGGTCATTTGGAACATGAGACAATATTTTTTTTTGTTAGTGCAAACAACACTATATCATTGTGTGTAAAGCTTCATGATAATAAATAGGGGCGTCTCCAAGTTCTCGAAATAGCTTCATTATTATTCAGTAAATGACACTGCATGAGTCTTATTTTATCAAGCATTCGAAACTTTTAGTCCTGTTTGTTATATGGAGTTTCAATCGCTAAACGTATTTGAGAAGTATCTTTTCAGACTTATCGTGCAGTATGGTATGAGACGATTTGGTTCTATCTTGATAAAATAAGACGGATGAGACATCACATTTTCTTCTTGTTTTCTAACTAATGCATGCATATTCTGTTCGAAATTGAATACGAAAAAAGTGCAATGCCTCAACCATTTTTTCTTATAATTTTTATATTATCTGTTTTCTCTATTATTTGTGTATTTGAAACGGCAATCAAGCACTGTTCTTGACATCACTTCTTCACAGCAAGTTAAAATCAAAAGATTTCATGACATATCGTATGATGACTCTGAAAAGACACTTCACAAATGTTTTTTTTCTTTTGAATGAAACTCTATGCCATAAATAAGGTCTTTATATGGAGTAACAAAGCTTTGCATTTTAGAATGCGTCATATCTCTTTTATTATGTATGTCGCATCTAGTGACCCATTAGATAGAGAGACAAAGGAGACAAAATAGTTTAGATTCTTTGATTAAGTTGAAAATAAATTTCCAAGCTGCATTGGATCTCTACAAACCATATTACAAATTACGTCCTGAATTGCTCATAGATCCCACCATGAAGAATGTCGTTGTGCAGAGATGACGTCAATATTAAATACAAGGAGTTGCATGTGTCAATAAGTGCTTTATGCCTTTTTCATTCTTAATCATGATCCTTTTTTACTACGAAGTTATGTCCATCGTGCATACTGGCCACCAACTATCCTATCTACTACATAGTGTCTCTTATCAGACCTTACTATGGGGGAAGTTTGAGGGAAATCATGAATGATATTATGACTATTAGAACTTGTTGCAAACGAAGAGTGTGGATTTTCATGTAACCAACAATCAAACCTCGCCACCTCCCACTTACGCTACATCCTTGTTATATACTGCTTATGGTGTGATTCTGAGTGCAATGAATACTCCCAATGACACATGCACCCACCTATACTCACACCCACACTCTCAATATTTGAAATTGCTTAAGTTCAATATCTCGCTTCTGGAATGTCAGTTCTCACAATCCCAATCCCATGATGTTGATTAATGCAGTCAGAACGTCAAACGTGTATATATGGTGACCATATTGAAAGTCTTTGATAATGACTTCGTGACACTAATCTTAGGATTTGTTGGATGAAACTCCTTCTAGAGAGAGATAACTGAATCTAAAGTTACTCGATAAAATAAATTCTTAAAATAATTCACGTTTGAAAACTATTGCTTAGTGAAAATATTTCTATTCGATGTCAAAAATGGGTTATTTTCAACAGAAAAACTACCTAGTAGCTACGAAATTGTGTAAAAGTTTGTTTAAAGACACAAATGTGTTTGTGACAATTTATTATTTCATTAAAGGGGTCAACTGATTTTTTTTCCGATAGAATATAACTTCTTTTCTGGAAATTTTGAATTTATTTTAACTATCCATAATCTATTTTTCCGTACAAGTATCGAGGTCTCTAACAATGTGATATACGTATTGTTGAAAAATAATCATTTGTTTAAAAAACAGTAATTTTATTTGAATAGTCCAATGTTTCGATTCGGTAGTACAGTCGGTATACAGTCGTTGACAAGAGTTTAAGCGAATTTGTTTTCTTCAATTTTTTCGTAGATTTGTTTTTCCATGTTTTCTTTCACATTATTCAAGGATATGAACTTGTTTGAAGTAGTAAAATAGGTAGTGTGAAGTCATGTGTGTGTGGGTGGATGTGGGGCAGCTGTGGATGTGGGATGGGTGTGGGTGTGAAAGAAGAGAATAAGCACAATTATCCACAGCCACACCCCACACACAGCCACACCCCACACACATCCACACCAACACTCGCACACCCACACCCACAACCACGCCCTATATGACGTTTGTTGTTGCCTATATTCTTTTTAATTCTTAATTTATTATGAAACCTCTCTCCCTGTTTATTCACGGTATGATCTTCATGCGTTTAAATGAATGAATTATGCTGTGATCATAACATTGAAGAACAGTGATCTATTTTGACCTATATTTATGAAGACATTTAATCCATAAATTATCTCAAGAGTCTGAAACGAAAAGTATTGTTGCCTTTTAATCTTGAGAGTGTAGATTTGGGTGTGCTATATCTCTTCATTTGCACTCACACCTACATCCAGAATCTTTTCTCCCAAATAAAATTTCAAAAAAGTACTTAGTTTTTCGTCCATTCTTTGGTAAACAATTTATAATTGTCGATTAATTATTTTAAAATATATCTTTAATTAATGGTTATATATATATGTAACTATTAATTCAATAAAACAACTAATCAAACAATCAGAGGAATATTTTCAATCGATTGATAAATAAGATATTACATGACACTGGTCAATCGACAAAAACATTAGTTAAAATGAATAACGAAAAAAAAATTAGTCATGATCAATGTTATTCAATAAGTGCTAATTCATTTAATCTATTTGAACAAAATTTAAAGGTATTTAGATGTAAAAGAAGACAAAGAAAAGAATGTGTTTCACTAAGATATTTTCAGCAGATTTAGAATGAAAATTTCTGATTCAAACCATTAGTTATTGATGTTTGATGGCATAAATATAGCAGATCCTTTTCTTTCAACTGATAGATTTTTGTTTACTATTCAAGATATTTTTACCTTCAATAGAGTAAACTTTCATCAATTGTTTATACAAATAAGACAATAATTTTGCTTCTTTTTCTTATTTAATATGTATCTGTGAAACGTAATGATACTGTCTACATATATATTTTTTAAACTGTTTTTTTTTCTGTATCGATTTTACATAATCAATGGTTTGAATGTACTGAAAATACTGATAAATCTCATGTAATTGTGTCATCATTTATTCATTCAATTGAACTTGAATGTTATGTATAGCTGACGTTTATCAACGTTTCGCACTGTGATTAAATTGATAATCATTGAAATAGAATGTATACAATCAAATACAAACATATATGATATTGAATTTTTAAATAATGCAAAAATAGCTCAGAAAAGTTATGAATAATTACGTATTCACAAAATATTTCATGTCAAAAGCTTTTACTTCAATCATAAAAATATTTTAATATTTACCATGGCTTTTTTTCTAAATTGTTGTTTGAAGTTTAATCTTAGTATATTTTTTTTCTATCATATTTTGGATGAGAAAGTAAAGATGTTTTGATTCTAAAATCAAAATCATTTTTTTCCTTTTTTTGCCATTTAATTTCAGTTAATACAATCAACTTTGCCATTATCTTAAGATAAAACACCTTTGAGCATTTCTTCAATCACTTCGATAGCTATTCATTTATGTCTCGATTCTTCAGAATTTTTTATCATTGTGTTTACTGATGCATGCACGAGAAAATTCTAACATGATAACGCCTTTCATCTGCAATTATGAGAAATAACAGGAAAACGACACAAAACTCGTAGTACTCTTGACAGTTCTTATATTTAGGTGTGGGGTGTGGTTGTGAGTGTTAGTGCTTGGCGAACCTAGATCCAGACCCACAGTCACACCCACCCACACTCAAATGTCCGCAATCACGGAAAATCGACAATGCTGAAGTTTAGATGACGAAATTCCAGAGAATCCTTAATTTAGTGGAATGCTCACGAAGTTGCGCATGAACCAGAAAAAAAGCACAACTTTTATATCCATTTTTATGTCGCAGTTGAGAAGAAAATAATTTGAGTTTGGAATGTTATCTATGAATTATGTTTTGCAAATTTATGCATTTTCTTAGAATCTAAGTATTCTGACTTCTTAGCAAATAGCTGAGGCTTTCATGATATTCAAGATAGGATCATGTCTCCATTTTTTTGGTAAATGCGTCTCTTCAATTCATTAATATAAAAAGAAAGAAAATTAGTTATAAGTTGATTTAAATTCAAGATGAAACATAAATCCGTCAGCACTTTACCTCACAGCATTTTTTCAGAGCTTTAGGAATAAACATACAGTGGTATGATTGAAATGCAGTTCTAATTATTTTTCTTTATGCAATAAGAAAGTCGACTAGAAATTCGTCTATTGCAATAAAATATAGCTTCTTTCTTCGATTAGATATTCTAGATGTGTACTGATAATGAAATGCGAATTGCTAGTGAAGGTTATTTTTCTGCATACGAGTCACTGAGAAATTGGATTGTATCATGTAATTGAAAATAAATCGGTTTTTTGTTCTTTAGTTTTAGATGCCATTTTATAGCTCGAGTCATTCGGACATTGACTTATATTGCCATTCAAACAAAATTATTTATTATTTGATGTTTATAGTCATTCCTATAGCTTGAGACATTGGACTGTACTTTGCTCTCTACGATACATGTATACTTTTTTCGTTGTGATCTTTATATATTATAGATGAGGTTTCATTTTTGTTGCATCATTTCTTTATTGTAACCGCTAATTGTTGATAATTTCGAAGACATGAATTGCTTCTTTTCTTCTTTATCTCAATTATTTTTCTTCGAACCATCAAAAATAATTAACAAAATAAAAGTTTATTCAAAGTACAAAAAATATTTTTCATTGCTTATTTTTTATGCTTATTTCAACTCATTCTCGATTGTTGATTTAATTCATTTACAACTTTTACGCTCAATAAAGTTCATCATAATCATTGTATTTAACTACTATTGCATTACATAACATTACATTTATTTTGTTGAATATATTGATAATGTTCTGGACAATGTGGATATCTTCCACCATTCGCACCCGGTAATTCACATATATGCGACAAACATAATAAACGAGCACAAGGTGTTCCACGACTTATTCCATAAGTACATTTAGCAACAGCATGACTACCACAAATACAACACACATTCGCGTTGGATGAAATTTTCGTTGCATTTGGTATCATAGGAATATTATTTGACTGCTGCTGCGGAACAGCTTGTACTGAACTGTCTTGATTTGATGGTATTAATGTATATAGAATTTGTTGACCATTGGTATCTAGTAAAGAAATTTGCCTGGGATGAGCAGCTGGATTGTAATGAATTGTGAGAAATTGGCATGGAGCTTCAGTAACTTCTTGAGAAACTGAGTTGGACATTTGTTGCTTATACTCTACTATAATTTTGTAGTTGAAGACAAATCTCACTGGTTAATGCACTCTATTTATATTGAATTCTAATCTAGTTTTCTAACCCCTTTCATTTTTTCTTCTTTTTTTCGTTCTTATTGATTCAAGATAGTGTATAAGCAAAACTCCGTCTGCAATAGAAAAATAGAGAATCAAAGAAAAGTTAGGTAATTAGCCGTAGTTTGTGAAATGACGATGACTTCACAAGCAGATAAAGTTGAATGTCATTACCTTACTCATTTCATCTTTTAGCGAAAAGTTGAGTAATTACTTGCTGACATTATACTTTAAAAATATGAAAATATTTTCGGACACAAAAAATTTAGGCGTACATCTTCTCAATGTTGAAAAACTGAATGAAGAAAAAACCAAATGAATAATATTTTTTTAATTAGCAGAATTCAATCGTTACTAAAATAAATTGTAGTGCGAGCAGCGAATTGGCATCGATCTTATTAATAATTGGAATCTGAGTCCCATGTAGAGTTGACACTTTCATTTTACTTTAAATGTTAAAGTTAAAGTAAAGCACCTTAAAACTTTAACTTTAATAAAAATCAACATTAAAGCCGATAGATAACCTTAACTCCTCATTTACTATCTACCGAAAGTATCCACCACTCATTATTTACTATATAACGGGGTGCCCATAGTCTATTATCTACCATATAATGAGCATAACCATACAAGAGGGTAATCACAGCACCAGAGCACCACATTTTACTACAAGGTGCTGAAAAAACACGATGGTGCAGAGAAGATGTCAAGATGTTGGCATGGAATTGATATGGTGCCGAGGTGCTCAGATACTACTCTCATTCTCAAATTGATTCAAGTATTTTAAGAATAGAGTATTAAAGATAGATAGCACTCATTATACTGCATTGGTAAGTGCAGCAGCATAGTTGCAAAGTATGGTCGAACGTGCTAAAAAAAGTACTGAAGTCCTAAAATTGTCTTCAGTCACGGAAAGTAGTGCTGAGGGTGCACTAAGATGGTACTATTATGCTCAAATAGTTTTTGATAATCATATATTAAGACCGAACTCTCCAAATACTGTTGTTGCTGATACGAGGAGTCCTAGATTCTGTCTTTTACTACGTAGTAATCTTAAATGAAACATGATTGTTTCTTAGTTTTTCCCAAACTCTTTGTAAACAAAATGAAACCATCGTCCTACCTCGAATATCTTAAAAACACAGTAGATCTTTGTCAATTTCATGGAACTTTTTAGAAGCCCTAGAAATCTATACAATCTCTATAGGGTGTCGGTGTGTGTCAGTGTGGGCGGCTATGATTGTGAGTGGGTATGGATGTCGCCTGCTGAATGAAAGCGACACAAACACCATATCTACATCCACCTACACCAACATTCAGACGTACACCTACACATAAACCCATCTGACACCCTCTGTTGTTTATCGTTTTTTCTTCTTCTTATATTCTGAAGATCGATTCATTTACAATCTAACTGATTCATATTATGTCGATCCATTTCATAAAATATCAAATGTTTAATATCCTTACATGTGAAATAGGGTATACTTTTTCTCAAAATGCGTTTAAAGGAATTAAATTCTGTTTGGGTCTGCTTTAACACTTTGATTTTTCTTTCGTTTTAGTTCAACAAATATTAACACTTTTCATCCGAATTGGATTTCGATGCATTGTAATGACTTCGAAATTCGTATTTCTGACTACATGAGTAGTATACAGAATATTTGAACTTTATGAGTTTTGTATACTAAATTCTATTAGAAATTAAAAAGTCTTTCCATACAGATATAAGTGTAGGTAAGTGGAGTTAAAGAATGAGCATGACGTGTATGTAGTATTAGATATGTTGGACTGAAAAAAACTGGATTGTTTATCATTCGACAAAATTGGTGATACTACGCGTGAGAGAACAGTTTTTTGAGATCTAGCATACATTGTTGATAGAAGTAGTCTTTGAATGAAAACTCACTAATGACTTGATAAAAACTTAAGATAGCATAATACATATTGCCGATTAAACAGCGAACATGAATCGATCAGCGTTTAATTTATTACCAACTCAAAAAAGAAGCAACTCTTTTTTATGGAACAAATGACACTTGCATAAACTCAAAACAGTCAATCATTATCAACAATCGTTTCTTAAATTCAAATAAAGAAGAGTTTTGTTGACATGTGATAATTCTGCCATTATTTCAACTTAATCGAATAATCTCAATGGCGATAAAAGATCGAATTTCTATTACTAATTGTTGAATGCTCTTGTCTAGAACTCTTACTTCGAATTTTTTTTATTCGATATTTGATATCATACGAAATCTGATGTGAAATTTTCTAGATACCCATTCAATTATATGTAGCAAGGTATGACTAGCGTTTCAATCAATGCATGAAAATTGCGAGTAAACTTATAAAGAGAAGCATTCTTAAAAATGTGTTTTGAAATGTATTCTAGTAGATCTATATGTAGCTAATAAGCTAAAAAGTGAAAGTAATCATCAAAGAATCACTGCTGATTGAATAATAACGTGTATTTCGTCTTCACATAACAGCAATTTATTTTTCACTAGTGTTTTATGATGATTAAGCAAAATATTAGAGAAGGCAACAAAAAAATAACAAGCATGCACAATAGATGTAACGATCAGCAGTCAAGCATGAAGGTATATTTTGTCTGCATTGAATCTCTCTTTTCTCTCAACGTGGTATGCCTACTAATTGGTTATGCTCACAAGCCCACACTAGACATTCAAATATTTACCTTGATGTAAACAACGTTTAAGCTGAAGATTAGTCACTATTGGTTGTTTTACTTTTCTTGTGTCGTTTTCTTCATATCGTAGATGTTTTAAGTTGAAGAAACAAGTGATGCTCTACAATAATCTTGTTTGAGTCAATAGTAAGTTGAATATTAAAAATATTTTTAGCAAGTAGTATCATTTAACTTTGCATTTTCATTAAAAATTTAATAATTTTCTTCCATATTTTGAGTCATGCAAACTGCCTATAAATTTTTGGTGTTGTCTGATTACATTGTTCTCTTCACTAATTGATCAGATATAAAGCATGTTAATGATAATATTTGATTAAACTTTTCTTTTCTTTTTTAAATAGTTCATGTGATGTATTCATGCTTCGGCAGTGTCTTTTTTTCCTAGGTGAATACATCTAATTCTGAGTAATTTTGGCAATCAGTTTCATATTTTTGTTTCTTGATATTTGTGAACATAAGATAATAAAACATAAATCAGTAGTATGAGTATGCAGAAGAATGATACACAGCACGAAAAATCTTTTACTGAGTGTTCACTATATAAATTTGTGCAGATTAAATGTTTGAGACGAAAGGCCAAAATGATTCATCAGTTGACAACAATACTTCATGAAAATTTTGAATGGTTTCATTTTCATTGGATTTTATTTCCAGACACCGTTGGAATCATGACATCGTCACCTTCGTCTTGTGAATTAATAGAATTGGTTCACAAAGAAAATACTGAAAGACTATCTTCAAATGAATTCAAGTTTTTATTTGATCATTATGCAGAACTGTTTTCTCCAAATACAAGTGCTGAAATCATCCATTCATTGTCAAAAATTCAGTCGTTACGGTCTGACGATGGATTATCACATTTGAATCATCGTATTATTTCACTGATTTATGATCGATTGATTGAACTTATTGAAAAATTTGTTTTAAACAGTGGTACGTTGTCTAACGATGAATTTATTTTAATGGAAAACTGTCTTGAATTTATCTCCAATGTATTAAATTCAGTGTACGACGAGAATTTAGATATTGAAAGCAATGAGCATCATAGTGATGATGCCAACAATGAAGATGGTAATCTACGGTTGGTGATACGAGAAACTTTATATCGAGAAATAATTCCGTTAAAAGATTCATTTCTGAAATTTATCAAATTTCATAGTTGGAATATCATGGAAAGTTACCAACATATTTGGGAAAAAATAGTTAAGGTTTTAATTCAACGTGACGCCATGATGGTTGCACAATTGAACTTTATGAAAAAGGATGAATTATCAAGCCTACAGTATAATGAAGATAATCAGTTACTTTTTGATGTATTTGTTCAATATCTGACTTCAATACATGGTGCTAGTGCTTATATAGAAGCAGTGAAGCGACTTAATAGTATATCGACAAGTGAACATGATAAAACTTTATTATTTGATAGTTTTAATTTTATTATTAATAATGCTCTTTACACGAAAGAATCTCGAACGAAATTTTGTAGTAATTTTTGGTTACCAAAATATGAAAATTTGTTGAAAGAATTATTAGCAATAATAGAAATAAAAGGAAAAGACAATGACATTCAACTTAGATTAAATGCAATTAAATATTTGATTATGAATCTAATGAATATGCAACTAACAGAAGAAAGTATTTTCATGCCAATAGAAAGACCAGTACAAAACTTTGCATTGAAAGATGAATATTTGCCAATAATCAAAATGTTACTACCTTGGTTTTCTAACCCATATATTTTGGAAAGTTTAAGTAAAAATGATAGTAATACTGATTATGGTATTATACCATTTCAATGGGATAATAATTATTACGAAAATACGATTCAAACTTTGACAATTACGTTCGTTACATGGACCATAGTACAGTTAATTCTAATGTTCATTAACACCAACGGAGATTGTCTTGCGGAAGTGAAATATACTACTGAAATAAAAGAAATATTATTGCAATTTATGGATCAAATAAACAATGTTAATCCAATTAAATTATGTGTCTATAATATCCTGGCATTATTACTAGATGAAAAAGATATTAAAAATGGAATTAGTTTTACAAAAGAAATAATTACGACTTTAATAAACTCTATACGTGTGGTTAATAAAGAGTCAACAATCGGTGAAATTCCAGCTCTTTTTCGTTTATACGATTTGATAACATTGTTGACAACACTCAAAGGTAAATTTGAAGAAACTCTAGAAAGTAGTGTATTAGTAATTGAATCAATATTTGAATTTACGTTAGATATCCATGTGAACTGTTACAAAAGACTAAATACGCAGTAGGCTTTTCAAGCAGCTAGTTATTTTTTCTTCTCAGTCCGTATTATTCTTCCTTGATCATAATCAATCATTTCTATTGAGTTCGAGGACTTTCAGTTTTATAGAAATCATATCGTAGATTAAATATTATACACCAGTTTCGATGGTCAGCTCACTCAACTTCGAAAGTCAAAAATATTCCATTTAATGCTATCGAATCCACTAAAATTCGATCATTTTTCCCACTTTCAGGCTTTAGAATGTCAGAATTTACCAAAACCTGATCTGATTTCGACACTATCAAATTGTTGGAATCTTTAACAAAAGAAAACACTGACCTCTTTTGACTTCAATAGAATCGGATTAATTCTGAGAATCGGTCTGATGAATTCCATCAGTCGTTTATTCTACTTGGGTTTGCTTACCAACATGTAGTGCTTTTGTAAAACACAATCTGAAAGGAGAGTTGAAGTGTTTGTAGGCAGAAATTCGCGTCCATACCTCCCTCCGCCAACAGATCGTGACAGACAAGCCCCAGAAATCATCGTAGACTGTGATAGAAGACTTCAAGGAAAGATCAGAGATAATATATAACTAACGTTTAATTGGAGCATATATGGAGTGTTGCCTTGTTCAAACTTTATGATGTAAAGTAAGTTTGCAGTAATATCTTCCAATTGATAACACTGCGTTTTCAATGAACAAACATAAACTTTATTTCAAAAGTTTAGTATTAGTATTTGACGAATCGATACTTTGACAAATAACAATCGTCGAATATTAGTTCACTATTTTAGAGACTGAAAGAAAATATAATGCTAATGAGAATATTAATAAAAAGATGAAAGCAGGGTTTTTGGTATCTGTTGACTGATTATGTATTGAAGATTATTTTTGTCACATCAAGGATAAATTTTATTTTGTTCTATATTACGTTCCACTGAAAAACATGACTACCAAGAAGAATTTCAGTAGAAAAATCTGTGATTAAATTGTTCAATGCGATCAAACTATTCAAATCGCAAAACCAAATGACATATTATATATCATCACACATAAAGCCAGCATAAGAATAATGTATCGAGATCTTTATTACTGACATCAATAGAGATTTATAGGAAATTGTATCACCACAATGTCACATGATCTTTTCACATACTTCAGTATTCTCAATCGATTGAAAATAGACAAGTTCCAAAGTATTGCCAGTATAACTCCTATACCATTACATCGTAAATAATGATGGCTCATGTTTAGTAATAAGAGAGAACTGACGTCACCTCGGTTACGTCCCTTTACTAAGTAACAATAACATCATGTCGAAATATTTGTCATGGCTCGTGAAAAGATAGCCAAGACACCAAATCACAAGGGAGTAAACACAGTGGTTTAGACTTTGAGACTTCAAACCTATTATAAATCAAAAACTTCATTTAACAGCTTAAAAAAACAGAAGTTTGCCAAACGTCAACATTTTTTTAAATTCAAAGGATTCAACACCTAGTTTTCTCTTGTATTCTTTCGATATATCTCAAAGAATCTGAAGCACAACACTCATTAAGAATCGTATTTCACGAGAAAATCGAGAAACTCAATTTGATAGTTTAATAGCATTGCTAAAGACAAAAAGGTGCACATCTTCACAAGATGCAGACAATATTGTGAAAAGCGTGTTTCAGATAGATGTATGAATATACATGAATGGAGTACTACGTTTAAGACACTAAACGTTTCCACCTAAGATATAATTAGTACGAAATGGTTCATGATATATAAATGATTTCTTCGGTTTTTTTTTACAGCATTTTTACAATTTAGTCAATTGAAAACTGATTGTCTTCTACATAATGGCTTAGAATTGTTAATGGAAGTAGCAATGGAAAAATCACGGTGTGACAAAATGCTGCTGAAATCTATCTTGAGTATAAATGATGAATCAACTATGAATGTTTTTGACAATTTAGCAATTCCAAAAGGTGTACAAATTATATACACTAAGACTAAAAAAGCAACCGAAACGGTAGAACAATTGGCATTGGAATGCTTTTTTACGATGTCTTTCAATATGGAAGCAGCACAGTTATTGAAAAATAATCAAGCATTTATGAATCATATTCGACAACTTGCTGAAGATAAAAATAAAACAACAAATCCTGGTCTGAAAAAAGCAGCAGACGGTGTTCTCTGGAAATTAGAAAAGGAAAATGAATTTAAAAAGCAATATGAAGAGATGACAGGAAGCCAAACAACACAATTTGATTTTATGATAAGTTATAGTTGGAGTGATAAACCATTAGTACGTAAAATATACAAGTATTTAACTGAACAGTGCAATTATCGAGTATGGTTAGACGAAAATGAATTGAGTGGTTCTTTATGTCAAGCAATGGCACAGGGGATTGAAAAATCAAAAATAATTCTTTTATGTATGTCTGAAACGTATAAACAAAGCGAAAGTTGCCGTAATGAAGCCGAATATGCACGCGCTCGAAAGAAAACAATTATTCCACTGAAAATGAGAGAAGTTCAATTGGACGATTGGCTTGGATTCCTAGTTGCCGGAAAGCTGTATATTAATTTTGGAAAACACGATTTTGAAACGAGTATGGGCTTGTTAATAAATGAAATTGAACGACGGCGATCTATGGAACAAACAACTAAACAAACCACAACATTGAAGAGGTATTGTAACTATTTAACGATAGTTTCTTAACAAAGACATATTTCATCTTATGATGTATTATGCTAGGACAGAGCCTGTTGTCACTGATACCATATTGCACACTGCTTGTACAGCTGTATCTTCGAGCTCAAAGTTACTCAATCGTCCAAATGTTATCTCAACTGAATACAAACGAATCCCAATTGTGTTATGGTCTAAACAGCATGTCCGACATTTTCTCTTCGATACAAATCTGGACATGATGATTTTATTAACTGAGAATATGAATGGCGAACAGTTTTATGAGTTTTCAGAGCGTTGTAGATTGCACAAGGAATCTTGGGTCATATTCGATCGTTTAAATAATGAACTAGAAAAACGATATCAGCAAACCCTTCCCATATCAGTTTATTCACGATTTCTACATGCAACATCAAAGTATTCAAATCAATCCACATCGTTTTAAATGAAATCCACGGCATGTTGTTGGCTTTCCTGTTGACATAAGTTTTTAACAATAGCCACATTGAAGCTCATCAATAAACTTAACGAGGGAGTGAGTGTCGGTGTTCTTAGTTAAGGCGCAACACCCGCACTCACATCCTATACTGGATGTATATATGCATGTTTAAAAAAGAGCTTTTTTTCATCGATTATCACACTATCTATTCGTTTCACTTCTAATCACTTCCATGACTTATAACTTATATGATCTAATTTGTTTCATATTGTAACGCACCTCAAACGAACTCTAAACATAGCATCACTGAATGCATCGATGTATGATTGAAAAAGAGGGTGTGGGTGTGGGTGTCATTGAGCACAAGAGTTACATCTACAGGGTTGCGAAAAATGTTTTACCCGGAGGTTACAGCTCCAACGACAAATAATATCAATATTGAATTTTATCCCAAACGAAAGCTCGTCAAAAATGGGGTTTATCCATACGAATAAATAAGGACTATAAAGACTTTTTTCTATCGAACTTGCATAATTTCTAGAAATGCATGAACCACAGTCATAGCAAAACTTTCTTTCATCATACAGAGCTCAAACTACCTCTGATAAAAAATTACTAAACATAGAAATATTCTCCTTACTTTTTATGGCTTAATGAATGATAAAAAGTAAAGGTAACTTTGCTAGATTCAGTATTTTATATCAGAAGTAGTTTGAGTTCTCTTCGATAGAAGAAAGTTTTGTTATCACTGTGGTTCATGCATTTTTAGAAAATTATGAAAGTTCGATAGAAAAATGTCTTTATAGCCCATTATTTATTCGTATGGATAAACCCCATTTTTGACGAGCTTTCGTTTGGGATAAAATTCAATATTGATACCATTTGTCGTTGGAGCTGTAACCCCCGGGCAAAACATTTTTCGCAACCCTGTACATTCTCGCACTCACATCCATCCACACCAACACTCACACACCCGCATCCCTACATCCACTCCCACACCCTCATTAGTGGATCTAAATATGTTTCTTGCAAACGAGATAATGATTTTTTTTACTCTATGTACTGATGGTTATAGCTGTGTATATTTTGTTAAAAAACGATAATTTAGCACGGATTTTAATATTTTACATGCCATTTTTGTTTCATGTAAACATGCATTTCATTGTTGGAACTCGTCCAAATGGGATTCTCAACAATTGATATGTCTATCTTGTTGTTTCAAACGTTCTATGAGACATGGTTGTGGTGCTTTTTTTTCAATTCGAACATGTCTTGGTCGACTTCTTGAGCTAGAATGTTTGAATTAATTACACTATTAGTCGTGTCCATAAGAGAAAAACAGTGAATGAACAAACATAATATTAATTTCTTCTCTTTTTATTACATATTGCAGTTGTTCATGTAAGAATGTAGACAAAAATAATAATGAATAGTTGTCCTGAAATTCATTTAATATTTTTTCTGACAAATAAAAGTGCAATAGCATATTTTAAACGTATCAAATAAGATTTTCTAAGTCGCCATAGGAATATACCGTATGACATTCTAAATTTTGCATCTGCTTATATGATCATGCCACTTCTATCGATTGGTTTTTTTCTAATATAGAACAGAGTATATTTTACTTTAGTATGATGTGTTACATCATACTTTTATTCATTATTTGTCTTTTTTGTTAATTTTCAATAATCATCATATAGTAGGACAAGTTTACATAATACTCTTTAAATCACTACTATTGGATAAGATTGAATATGGGCATGGGCGGCGCACCAGCAAGCGACGAGTTATCAATTGCTTCCCCTAAAAAGAATTTGAGGAAACAATAAATTTTTATTGCTTCCCATAATTGTTCATGTTTCATCTGTATTTTATTTCTCCATGTTTGTTGAACTTTTGATTATCAAGTAACTCCAATTTGTACTTCTGTCTGCATTCGTCCATAATCACCGTACAAGAACGTATTCATAAAGAGATCAACTAGCTGCTAATATAAATAGTTAAGTAAACAGTTCCCATGAGAAGACCGCAATATTTTCAATTGATTCTTATGTTTATAGTTTCATCAAGAAGGAATAGCTGTTAAATTAGCAGACAATCTTTCACATGAGTATCAACTCGAAAACCAAATGACTGGTGAGCGAAAGGTAATAACAAAAACAACTTGAGTTTTGGTAATTCGTTCTGAATACATCTGTTCTCAATAAAAACGTTACACTACGCTCAAACTGTGGCCTTTCTCCTCAAAAATCGATTCCAGGACCAAGTACATTCAAATCGTCTGACATTTTCAGACCATGTTGAGACTGATGTCGAGACGCTATGGTAAAATTGTCTGCCCTATCCCTATATCATGATATTGGGTGGAGATATGTACCAAACAAGGGCAAAAAATAGCTCATTTTGAAATCCATTTTTCTTTGTCCGGGCTCTTTCAACATATTAAATTTTATTTTGTTTGAAAGAGCATGTCAGGGTATAGGGCACTACAGAGTTCTTTTTTTAAAATTCTTACTCTTTAAGCGGAGAAAATGGTTCACACGTTCAATAATTCAGAAAACTCTCTAAAAATAGGCAACAATTTACATAATTGTTTGCATATATAATGAAAAAACAAAACTTAATTAAAAAAAGACCTCTGTGGTGCCCTGCATTTTGATATCCTCTATCAAACAAAAAGAAAATAAAAAATATTGAATGAGCCTGGACAGAGAAATTTGGGTTGCGCATGTGAAAAAGTATAGTCTGAGAAAAAACAAAAAACAATTTCCGTTTTTTCTGAGAAAAGCTTGTTCCGGTTTTTTAAGAAGCGAATGATAAAAGCTATCAAAATTTTTGCCCTAAAACGGGTTGTCGATTTAAAAACCATTTTGTTTCCGAAAGAGCAGAACACGGGCTATCCCTCCATGCATTTATCCTACTGTCTGTTCAAAAATATAGTGGCCGCGAGAATTTTTGAAATAACCCGAGAACAGAAAGAGATAGAGAGTTGCGGTTTTCGCTATTATGTAAGTATATGAGTACTCTATATATTCACTAAGACATGCTGAAAATCCTTGCAGATTCAGGGCTTCATCAGCGTCAAACTTTCAAAGAATACCTAGCGGTTTTTTAAAGTGTCATAGGGTCCTATAGGTCTAAACTATCTAAAAGATAGCTCAGAGGCTCCTCTACAAAATGACAGAAGGCTCACTTCTCTAGCTCTTGTAGTTCTCAAATGGCATTCATTTTCCTGAAATCTATGCTAGTCGTTTTTCTCAATAGGATAATATGTGGGTATTCATAATAAACGTGCATTGTTGCTGATAGTTTCCCCTCTGGAAATAACTCTTCGAGATCGCGAACAACTTTATTAATTGAGAATCAAGTGTTAAAAATATGTAGAACAAGCATAAATTCAAACTATTTCATTGGAGTGTAAAAAAAATGTAAAAAATGAGAAAAGTATAATTTTATCGGTAGCATCTGAGAAAATGTCAGCTATTAAGGAAGATCAACATTTAATTCTTATATAACATATGTATTTAGTTTATGTCGTTCTGGCCACGTAACGTTAGTCTTCTCAGGGTCGTTAATTTGTTTCCTGATTAAGAGTTTTGGCACTCTAAAATCTTTCTAAAACAGTAGCATCCAAAAACAACTGTCACAGTGAACTTATTAACGCATGCACTGGGTAACTATGGTACTATAAAAAGACGATTTCTGTATAAGTCAATGATCCTGATACGACTCACGTGACACTGTGAAGACAATGGAAACGCAATAAATATATTACACAAGAATTAAATGTTGATCCTCCTCAATAACTGACATTTTCTCATCTACTATCGATAAAATTATACTTTTCTCATTTTTTACATTTTTTTTACACTCCAATGAAATAGTTTGAATTTATGCTTGTTCTACATATTTTTAACACTTGATTCTCAATTAATGAAGTTGTTCGCGATCATGAAGAGCTATTTCCAGAGGGGAAACTAACAGCAACATGCACGTTTATTATGAATACCAACATATTATCCTGTTGAGAAAAACGACTAGCATAGGTTTCAGGAAAATGAATGCCATTTGAGAACTACAAGAGCTAGAGAGATGGGCCTGCCGTCATTTTGTAGAGGAGCCTCTGAGCTATCTTTTAGATAGTTTAGAGCTATAGGTCCCTATGACACTTTAAAAAACTGTTAGGTATTGTTTGAAAGATTGACACTGATGAAGCCTTGAATCTGCAAGGATTTTCAGCATGTCTTAGTGAATATATAGAGTACTCATATAGCTATATAATAGCGAAAACTGCAACTCTCTATCTCTTTCTGTTCTCGAGTTATTTCAAAAATACTCGTGGCTACTATATTTTTGGACAGACATTAGTTTTCATTTTTTTGACAAAAATTGATTTTTTCTTAGGAGGAGGCCTTAATATGCTCTCAAATAAGTGAATACACAGACTTCCGATACTATGTCTTTGAGAAATTAATTTCTAAAAATACTTTTACTGCCGAGCTTTGAACTATGGCTGGGAGGAGGATATGGTCTCATTCTAGAGCTCATTGCTTCCTATAAAAGATTAAGCTTGCGCCGCCCACGAATATGG